TTTTAGTTAACGATAATACCGTATTTCTTTATGGAATTCAAATAAACTGTTTGCTTTAAGAGCCAAGGATGAAGATGGCCAGTTACCTGGTGCCAGTTCTGGGTGGAATGGTTGATTTTCTTAATTGAACCTGGCTGGAGGACATTAATGAGCCTGTAGAGACACACGGCGAGAATTCAATCAATTCTCGGTTAGCAAGTGGATATATGATAGCTACTGACAGCTTTCTGAGCTTTGACAACCAGCGGAGATCCACTCACTCGCACAACAGGATTCCATCCTTCAGACTCTCCATGAAGCCGTCCCCGATTCTTTTCCCAGTCACATCCTCGATCCACAGCCTCAGCTCCTCTTCTTTCTGTGGGTCATACTTGCCAGCCAGCTGAGAAGCACAAAAAAAATACATATAGTAGACACATTATTAGTTTTAGCATTTAGAATGATATGGCCCTTACCATCCTGAGACAGGTTTTGCTATCAAATCAAATTCCTTAAACTTGAAAATGACAGTGTTAAATGTAAAGAGACTGAAATTTTTCCCTCTTTCAATATAAAGTCTGGGAAACGGAAACATTATTTACTTTCCGCTATCGAAATTGTCTTTCAAGAAAGTCACGTAACTTAACAGCAGGCAGCTAACAGCTGAACTAACTCATACATTCTAAATATGAAAGTTAGCTGCCTGAGGATATGGATTTTTTTGGAGCCGACTCATGCACATCAATCTATTCACTCCGTTGTAAAAACAGTATGCCTGGCTTTTAAGTGCATATACAATTTAGGGAGATTTTCTTAATGCTACCATGGCAAAGTGGGCATGCCTGGTTCAAAGGTTTCTCTCCGTTTTGTGCTCTTTGATAACAGTATAAAATGCACTGCCTTTAAACCTGTAATGTGCAACATCACTAAGATTATGTTGGAAATGATTTTTTCCTTAAGTGAGTTAGTTATCAGATTAGTTATTTGAAAGCACTGCACACCTGCCATTAGGGTTGTCAAAAGTATCGATACTCGAAAAAGTATCGATACTAAAATGTTGTATCCGGATACGATACTCATTTTCAAAAGTATCGATACCACCGCGCGAGCCCACGCGAGCGCGCGCGCGAGACGCTGACCTGCCGTCGCTGCGCCCCTTCTCTCTGATTTATTTATGTATTTATTTACGTTGTTTATGATCATTAACAAGACGTTAGCCTTGCTAGCTGCGGCTAATGGCTAATAATAACACGCTACCCTTAATCAAGTACATATTTAACTCCGCCCACATC